AGACCAAAACCCTAAAGACCAAAACCCTAAAGACCAAAACCCTAAAGACCAAAACCCTAAAGACCAAAACCCTAAAGACCAAAACCCTAAAGACCAAAACCCTAAAGACCAAAACCCTAAAGACCAAAACCCTAAAGACCAAAACCCTAAAGACCAAAACCCTAAAGACCAAAACCCTAAAGACCAAAACCCTAAAGACCAAAACCCTAAAGACCAAAACCCTAAAGACCAAAACCCTAAAGACCAAAACCCTAAAGACCAAAACCCTAAAGACCAAAACCCTAAAGACCAAAACCCTAAAGACCAAAACCCTAAAGACCAAAACCCTAAAGACCAAAACCCTAAAGACCAAAACCCTAAAGACCAAAACCCTAAAGACCAAAACCCTAAAGACCAAAACCCTAAAGACCAAAACCCTAAAGACCAAAACCCTAAAGACCAAAACCCTAAAGACCAAAACCCTAAAGACCAAAACCCTAAAGACCAAAACCCTAAAGACCAAAACCCTAAAGACCAAAACCCTAAAGACCAAAACCCTAAAGACCAAAACCCTAAAGACCAAAACCCTAAAGACCAAAACCCTAAAGACCAAAACCCTAAAGACCAAAACCCTAAAGACCAAAACCCTAAAGACCAAAACCCTAAAGACCAAAACCCTAAAGACCAAAACCCTAAAGACCAAAACCCTAAAGACCAAAACCCTAAAGACCAAAACCCTAAAGACCAAAACCCTAAAGACCAAAACCCTAAAGACCAAAACCCTAAAGACCAAAACCCTAAAGACCAAAACCCTAAAGACCAAAACCCTAAAGACCAAAACCCTAAAGACCAAAACCCTAAAGACCAAAACCCTAAAGACCAAAACCCTAAAGACCAAAACCCTAAAGACCAAAACCCTAAAGACCAAAACCCTAAAGACCAAAACCCTAAAGACCAAAACCCTAAAGACCAAAACCCTAAAGACCAAAACCCTAAAGACCAAAACCCTAAAGACCAAAACCCTAAAGACCAAAACCCTAAAGACCAAAACCCTAAAGACCAAAACCCTAAAAGACCAAAACCCTAAAGACCAAAACCCTAAAGACCAAAACCCTAAAGACCAAAACCCTAAAGACCAAAACCCTAAAGACCAAAACCCTAAAGACCAAAACCCTAAAGACCAAAACCCTAAAGACCAAAACCCTAAAGACCAAAACCCTAAAGAAAGGTTTTCCCAGGGCCACCTATTCCTTAAAATGACTAAGTTGAATGTATAAATTCATTTAGAAATTTAAAATTTCTAAATGAAAATATACATTTCGCATTTTATGTATACAAGCAATAATTTACTTTTCTGTAGAGTTGAATATTAACATTATAAATCTCTTGTCTTAAATCCTTTAAGTTTTTAGCCATTTCATTTAGAAGTGCATAGAAATTGAACTTAAATTTCTATGAACAGGGATCAACATTTGGCATGTACTCCACAATGCAAAATTCTACATGTAATTTTATTGTCCTGCAAGGTTACAGCTAAAATTGCTAGAGGCAATTTGGCTAAGGTAAGAGAAGCACTTGATCCTAAATACTTTCTGGTGGGGGAAAAAAATTCTGTAAGTCATTTTTTTCAGATTGGTGCATAAGTTACATATTTTTCAAGTTTAACCATTCATTTACAATGCTCCTTTAAATAATTTACCAATTTGTGGAAATAAAGACTTTAAGATTTACAGTTAACACTGGGAATTTTTGGTAAAAAATGTTAATACTATAAATTGCTGCTGTTGTGAATGGTCACTTTCTGTCACTGACCTTTCAAACTGACCTCTCAATTTAAAATTGAACTTTAAATTGAACTCCAAATTTACAATTTATCTTTAAATTGGATTAAATTAAATATTGCAACTCTACTATATAGTAAATGGAACATTTTATTTAAAAAATCTACAAATATTTTTACTAGGTTTTTCCAGAGCACTTCTCTTTAAAGAGATGGAGCTACTGGGGTTAAATAGTGGCCAAAAAATGAACATTGAAGGTGCCAGTTAGAGATTTAGGATTAGCCAATAGTTGGCAAAATGTTCTACAAAGATCTCTGTGGCACTAAGAGCATCATGCCGTTTTTACATGGAAGCAGCTAAAAATGTCAGCTAAGCTTGATAACTGACTTTTCAGAGTGAAAATTGGACCCTGACATTTTACTACAACAGAAAAACTGTCCATTGAAGGCCAGATGCCCATATGTAAAAGGTGGAAAACCTCAACAATCCAATGCACAGTTAAAGGGCATCACCAAAAATTAGGGTGCATTTTCTCTTCTAACAGGCAGATTACAATTGTTACAAGGCCGTTTACACATAAATATAAGCATACTACCATAAGTGGAAAGTTAGGGGAAACCAAACCATCCAAAACATTTTAAGTAGGTTTGGCGTGAATAAAATTAAATGTCATAATATATTCAGAGATTGAAATTAACTGTAGAACAGCAGCAATGAAATTGGCTTAGATAAATGTTACCCTTTAGGGAGATGGATTTAGCCTCTACCTGTTAGCAGTACTTTGAATAAGCCACATTTCTGAAAGAGTTACAGCTATTCTGTGTATTGTTTTGGAACTCAAATATCCTATTCTGAACAGATACTAAAGACTTTTGGATTTCATCCAGTTGTTTAACTGCTGTCTTTTACATTTAAAATAAATCTCCTGATGTTAATTTTTCTCTTCATGTCAAAAGAATTTTATTTGGGCTGATTGGGACCTAACCCTGCAATAATAATCCATGCCATGCTAGAGCTCAGATCATAGGAAGTTAAAGCTATTGACTTTAAGCTGAAGATTTTCTGAAATTAAAATTCTTAAGCATTTCTAAGCTGTAGGACTTAATACAGAATACCAGCTGGAGTGCATGTTGCTGTGTGTGAGGCTATTCCTCTAGAAGACTGGACTGCATTTAAGACTCCCGAGTCCTGGAGTCACCTTTCCCACGTGCTGTTCCTATAGGCGGAACCTGGGAAGGCTGATACGTACCGCGCCCCTGGTTTAAAAAACACACTGTCCGTTAACACCGCAAGGTGGAACCAGCATGCCCAGGAAGCAGAAGAGTTCTCCGTTGATTCTCTACTGGTCTGCGTTGAATCCTGGCAGCCTGCAAGTTTACTGACTCACCTTAGCTTCCCAGTGCAGAGTGAACTGCACACCAGTAGATAGCAAGGTGTTGCTACCCAATCATCCTCCCAGGGAAGAAGCTGCTGCCTTCAAGGTCTCCAAACACCTACTAGGATTCAAACCACCACCCTAAAATGAGAGGAAAGAGCAATTCTAGTGCCATCATACACCGCAAGACCCCTAGAATGCTTGGTAACAGCAAAGGACCATGACCACATTCACAAAGTGAAGAGACTTACCCAGAGCTGCCATAGTAGGATCCGTGTTAGCAGGCAGCAGTTCAACTCTGAACACCTCATTGTGACTCATGGTGCAGATTTCCTAAATGTTTTAGCTCCTTCTAAAATATCTAGTTTGAAAGAGGAGCTCATGCTAATCACAACACTATATGATTTTTTAGGGATTGCAGGAAAAACAGCAAAACTAGAAGCTAAATTATGAAGCACCACCATGCAATGCATTCTGGGTTCTTCTAAAGTGCATTTCTGATGTTCAAAACAGTATTAATACATATTTCTGCCCCCTAGCAGAATCTCAGCGATGAAGTTAGAAGCTGAGCTGTGATTTCTGTCTTGAAAATGCAGTTTGAAGACAAACAAAATGAAACATGGTTAAAATAGAAGACTTTTAAAACCAAATTCAAGCCTTCAGAGCAGCTTTAAGATGAAACTCCATCATCTAAACAGAGGGACTGAGATGGCATTTTAAAACTGAGCTGAGTTCAGTCCAAAAAGGAGCGTTTAAAAAGTAAAAGGCCAGAAAATCAGTTTGAAAATTGACTTTAAAGCAAATTCCTGGTGAGTATAACAGCATCAAGGCTAAACTTCATCCAACAGAAACTCAGAAATGACATTTTAAAGCTGAACTGATTTATTTAAAAAATTGAGCTCAAAAACAAATAAAAATGTATTGAAATATGATTAAGTTGAAGCAACTGAGGATGAGTTTCAGCTCAATAGGAAATTCCTCGCCAGACTTTGATTAGGTTGAAAAATTCATGTAGCTGCCATAGCTCCTCCTTTCATGTAGCTATGGCAGCTTCATGAAAGGAGCAGGCCAGGGCCACCAAAAAAGGTGGGAACCTGCAGAGGCTTGTAGGGAGTATAGAAACCAAGCTTGATCTAATGAGGTTCACCTCTTGTTATGTTCAGAGAACCTTAGATACTCTCTTTTATTATAAGATCATCATACAGATAAGTTTATAACAAATGCACTGCTTGCAAATTAAATACATTTGATTTGGTTAACAAATGCCCTATTTGTAAAGTAGTCACAATTTCTTTTATTGTACAAAAATGACCACACTGAAATGAAGAAGTCTATGCTGTCCTACTAAAATCATAGCTGAAAAATAGTGAAAACCCAATTAAATCAAATTGAAAGATAGGGGAGGAATAATAACGAGGAAAACACAAATATTAGTAAATATGCCTAAGTGCTCCCCAAAAACCAACCTCAAACAAAAATCCCTAGTAAATACAACAAAACAATAAATTCCCCTTCCACTAGTCTCTCCAAGCTAAATAACCCAGAGAGAGCAGGTCCCTTTAAAATGAGCCAGAGGACTAAAAAACTTTTCCACCCGTTTTCTTTTCCCAGTGGTTTGTTATCTGATGCTTGACTTATTGCTCACTAGTGACATCTGCTGTTGCACTGAAATAACAGCATCAAATGTCAGCTAATGTTTCTGTTGTCATAGAAACCATCTTGATAGTATCAACAGTCGCTTCGTAAGATCTCACTGCTAAGAGATGCTAAACCTTCAGTCAGTTGTGATGACAGGCTTTGTCCTGCAGGGGGAGACAAATCAGAAAGCTGAGCTGAATCACACCAAGGGATGCTGGGAGGAGAGGAAGAGGAGGAAGAAGAGGAAGAGGAGGCGATGATGTAAGCAGAAGCTGCAGAGATGCTAGCAGCCGAGTGACAGAGGAACCCAAAGTGACGGAGCCCACCAGCATCTCCAGGCTGGCAGAGAGGCAGCAGCACACACACCCTGACACACACACACACACCAATACACACACACTGTAAGCTGCAGTGGAGCTAGCTTCTGATAGCCTTATAGCATGCTGCACAGGAGGCTGATCAGCACAAACAACGATGAGGCGAACGAAGCTTCCTGCTGCATGGTAAGTTCTGCATCTTTCTGCTGCTGACGCTGATCCTGTTCCCACAGAAACAGTCAACCTGTCACTGCCCTTCATCACACAGAAGAATCAGGATCATTTGTCTTCACAGTACAAATCAAATACTTGGGAGTTCAGAACAGAGACTCTACAGGGATGCAGCTGAGCTAGCAGAACCACAGACTGCTGCTCAAACACTACAGATGGATGTGACTCTTGAAATATTTATTGAAACTGCACAATATTACAGTGAATACTACAGTCACAGCTCAACAACCCAGCTGGGACTTCAGCAATAAATACTGCAGAGAAACACGACAGCGGAGAAATGCAAACATCTCAGATCGACAAACAAACACTTTATGAAGAATAATTATTAAATCCCCAACCAATTTCATGTCCTCACAAAGAAATGAACAGCCTGTAATTTTATGGAAGTTCTGTTGAATGAAAATAAACAAAAATGTGAAATACAAGTTATAAATGAATTGATTAAAGTTTCCTGCAGATCCTGGAACAAAAACAGTTGAATCTGTTGCAGAAGATCAGATCTTTCTTGAAGTTGATCACCAGCTTTACAAACATTTCCAGATGGATTTTGTTTTGTTTCTTTATACAGAAAAGCTACAAAATCATGAAAGTTTTGAAGTTGTTTTTTGTTAACTTTTCTCACATTAAGGTTAACTTCTCCTTTCTTCCTTTAGGATTCTGGTTACCAGAATGTTGTGGCACATAATCTCATGCATTTCTCTGCCTGTGCTGAAGTCTTCCTGAACTGTTACCAGACAAACAGCTCATAATGTTTCTATGTTGGTGTTTGACAGCAGACATGCTGTCATTTGCTTCATTTAGTACTTGTCTACCTCCATCCCTGTCAACCCAACTTGATGCTCCTCAGCTCAGCTGACCTCATCCTGTCTGCAAGTGTTTCTAGCAAACTTCAGCCAGTCTGTTGATGGACCAGTGATTTCAGCTCTTCAGATCATTGACAAGCTCCTTCCATGTGATGCTGCTCAGAATGAAATGTCTCAGTGGTGCAGAGGCTCAAATGCAACAGGAAGATTTAGTAACATTTGTCTTACAGATGTATAAGGCCCTAAAAGGAATATATTAGCTGACTCTCACAGACGCTTGCAATCAAATAATAAAACGTTTTTAAAAAAAGCAAGGTGAGTTGTTGTGAAGGTCAAGCTAGCATTAGTCTGTCTTTCTTTCTTGAAATATGCTGACCATAAAGAACTTAATTACGTTGAAAAATCTTACAGAAATCATCTGCAAAACCTGCTGAGCTACAAGACGAATCCTTCACAGCCTACAGAGCGACACAGTGACAACTTCCTGTGTCCACAGGTGCAGATGTAGGAAGGATCAGGCTGACATTTAGCTGGAGGAGGGCGAGGATCCAGCGGCTGTTGGTTATGTCAAAACGAGGAATAGCAGGGCGAGGAAAGGGAGAGCGACCGGACGCCATGGCAACCCTTCAAGCGGCCAATGAGGAACTGAGAGCAAAACTGACAGAGATTCAGATCGAACTCCAACAGGAGAAAAATAAGGTAAGTACTGGAGATCCAAATGTCCCCCGGTGACTGCCGTAGTTTCTTTAGTAGGAGACCTGCATGTATTCTCAAACCAGAACTACTACAGTTCTGAGCTCCTATCAGAGAAACTACTGCTATAGTTACTGTAGTACATTCTGAAACCCAATTTACTTTCCCAATTTCAGTGACTCTAGAAACTCTAGTGGTATTAATAGAATTACAGCAGCAATTCTAGTCATGCTACAAAACTTTCTACAGTCCCTAAAGTACTTTCTGTAGTAACACCATAGTTTGTATTTGTCACTTTTTTGGGGGTAGCACAGTCTTTAGTAGTAGTCCTCCATGTACTGCGGTACCATCAGTAGTACTATGTCTGTGTGGGGAACCGTTGGTTCTGGCTCCACCAGGTGAGCCGCCTGGAGAGAGAGAAGAGTCAGGAGTTGAAGGCGGAGCATAACCGTGCAACGGTCACCCTAACGGAGCTGAAGACCAAACTCCATGAAGAGAAGCAGAAGGAGCTGGCGCTCACCAGGGAGACGCTGCTACGGCAACATGAGATGGAGCTGATGAGGGTCATTAAGATTAAAGATGGAGAAATCCAACGTCTGAATGGACTCGTACAAAACCTGCGAGACGGATCAACGGACAAGGTGATGAACAATGATTGTCAATATTTCACAACTTTCATCCATCCACCCTTCCTTCCTTCCTTAAAGGTCAGGGTGAAAGGTCACCCTCTCTAGCAGCTTCAGGGTCAGAACTGGTTTGATATTTTTACCAAACTGCCTCCACTGGTTACTTTGAAAATAAAATATAGTTTTCAAGTTTGGCTGCTTTGAAACCAAATTGAGTTTAAGTCTAAACTTGAGCTGGACTGGAAAGAAGCAAACTGAGATCTCTTTTCTGTTTCTCACATTGTCACTAAATGATTTTTCCTCAGAAGGTTCTCCTGTCCTAACCCTGACCCTCTGTGCAGGTCAGAAGCGCCTTGATGGGGGAGATGGAGGAGGGAAGGAGGAGCTGGGAGATGGAGCGCTGTCGCCTCCAGCAGGAGGTGCAGGAACTGCGGGGAGCAAAAAAACATGCAGAGGAGACCTTGGCACTGGCTCAGCAGGCCTGCCAGGCCAGAGCAGCCGAGCTCCGATCGGCACATCACCAGCACCAGGAGGAGCTCCACAGAACCAAGAGAGACTGTGAGAGGGAGATCCGGCGACTGGTAGGGGGCGCTGTGGCACAAACACAGTTTGCACACTGACAGCTGAGTTACCAGGACAAACTGAACCTGTTACTTCATTTATCTGCTGAGATTTCCACAGGTTTCCAAACACATGAAGACATCCAAATCATCCAACAGCTAATAGTTTGTGCAACTTTGACTGAAAGGAAAACATTGATCTATTTTCTGATCCACTGAATGTTGATTAGCAGAACGTAGTTGAGAGTCCAGAGCTGGAGGAAACACTGAGAACAGACTGGGATGATTGAGCCATGTTTCACTCTGTCACTGACTGGTACTGGTACTGGTACTGGTACTGAGCAGAAACAAAGAGCAGCTGTCCTGCTCCACCAGCATCACGTTAGCTGCTGATCAGCATGTGACCTCTGACCTCTGCAGATTTCATCTGGGAGAGAAGATGGTTGTCAGTAAGTGTAGGTGAAACAGCTGAATCATGTTCAGTTAGGTCCCAGGTTCTGGTCCGGCCCGCTATCTGTCTGGAGTAGACGGCACACTCAGGTCAACGTTTTGGAATATTTATCCAAAAAAGTCAATTACTGCCTTTGTTTTTGTTTCTGTAAAAAAGCCTAGAGGTCAAAATAAAAACCTGTTTTCCAGCTGGACCCAGTTCACCTAACTGGAAACCAGCTGAAGTCCAGTTCCGTCTCATTTCAGCCCAGCATGCACTCTTTCTTCCAAAGAAGCAGTCATGATCCCGCCCATCACCTGTCTGTCTGTCTGCCCTGATGTTCCTCTCTTCTACCTGTGTGATGATGCCTGACTAACCCTCCGCCTGTCTCCCTGTCTGTCTCTCACCATGTGCAGATGGATGAGATAAAGCTGAAGGACAGAGCAGTCAGTGTTTTGGATAAAGCTCTGGGGCTGCAGGCTGGCCACGCCCACCGCCTCCAGTTGCAGACTCAGGCTGCTGAACAACAAATTGCTGCTCTGAGAGACGCACAGAGGGCGGGGCTAAACCATCCTGCTAACTCCACCCCTAACAATGCTCCTTTCTTTGTAAGCCCCGCCTCTTCCTGCTTATTTAAAAATGCATGAAAAAAGTCTGGAATTGTATCTTTGCTGCCCCCTGGTGGCAACATTAGAAACATTTTCAGCTCCTGCTGTTTCCCTGTCATATATTTGTGAAAGGGCTGGGAGTCATTTTCTATGTTAAATTAAACAAGCATTGTGAGAACCAAAACCATTGAGGGCCTTTGCAACATTATTGCCATTTCCAGGAAGAACGTCTCAATCCACTTCATTCAAATTATTTCCTGGACATTTCCAGCCAGATTCCTTTTTCAAACATTTTAATGTCACTTTCTGCCAATGAAGTCGGTGGCAGATACAGAGTGTTTCAGTTATAATGGCAGACGTCCCACGGACATTTCCCCAGAATTAAATAATCAGTTTTGTCTTCACTAACTCTATTGATAACCTCTGACCCCAGGACAGTGTTCTGCTGTTTGTCCATCCATCATATATTGAGCAGGTCTCATCTTGGCTTCTTTTTCTCCATTTTCTTGATCATTTTTAGAAACCTCTCTGGTTGCAGTGAAAAATGAAGCTTAGGAGATTCAATTCTTTGCTCTATTAATGGCTTCCTTCGATGTCCAATTAGGTATACAGGCTTTTTCTTACTAACGCCCAAGATGAAGAAGTCTGAAGAAGGCTAGAAATGATAAAAAATCTCTTGATGAGAGGTTAGTTTGCAGAAAACAGCCATTCCTGTGGATCCAGTGTTTGAACTTATGGATAATAATATTATCAAAATTCTTTTTCTAATTTCACTTGCTGAGTGCAACTGGACCCTAATTATTTAAATTATCTGCAGATCCGTTGTATTCAAGTAACATTTGAGGAGGTTTATCAGATTGACTGTGCTCTGGGTCTTTCCCAGTTCAGGTCACACCAGTTCACCAGGAACTGGGCAGCTTTGATTGTTAGTTAGTTGGAGTATCTGAAATCTGTTTGCAGGTCAGATAAGGTATCAGCCTGTTCAGGTAACATGTTCATCTTTTTTTCTCCAAAGAGTTTTTAGCTATTGGCTTGCATTTTTTGACAGTAAACTGAGAGGAAAGAGGGCAAGAAGAGGGGGGTAGACATCCGGGAGTCGAACCCGCAACGTCGAGGACCGAGGCCTCCAAACGTGGGGCGCGCTAACCCCCTGCGCCACCGCAGCTGTTTCACCTTAATGGTGTCTATTCTCATCAGTTATGGTTGTTGTCCATATGTATGATTAACACTTTGCTGATAGACCCTATCAAAGACAGGATAAAATAATTGGTGTGTAGGTCAACCAACACACACAAAACACGAGTGTGTTTGTGTAAATAAAGTTGTGCGCCTGACTTTATTAGGCGCCGGTCTAATAGAGTTAGATAACCAAGCAATGATAATAAAAATCTTCACCTCCTCTGAAGTGAAACCAGTCAACTGCGCTCTTTGTGTCACTCCCTCGAAAAGAATCTCATCTTCAAAAATCAAGCTGTCATGATTTGTGGTGAGGGAGATGCAGAGGACCAGGTTGAAGTGATGAATATGACCGTATTTGAATAAAGAAGTAAGCAATAGAAAATTCAAGGCAGCACAGATGAGCAGAAAGCTAATGTCTCACAACTGGTAGCAACTGGTTCAAATGAACTGATGACAGACAGCATAGACCACTAGAGAAAAACCTGACAAAGAACAAGAAAAACAGGTGGGTTTAAATAGACAGGAAGAAAATCAGGGGAAACAAGGACCAGGTGAAACTAGTTAAGGGTTAGACGGACAACAAAGAGACTCCACAGAACACAGAAACCTAAATAAACTCAGAAAAAAACAAATACTTACAGGAATTAGAAACAAAACCAACCTTCTAAGACCAGTGTCAACAGACATAAATCTGCCAGAGTCATCAGCATGGGATCTGCTCTGCTCAATGAAATAAATCTAAGTGCTGATTTACCTGCCATCAGGCACAGCGTCTTCCATATATGGGCGTACTTCCGGGACATGATGCCCTGGCAACATACTGTTAGAGATCAGGTACCACTTCATCAAAAAGTATTTTACCACAGAACATAAGATCTGTGCTGCTATGAGCCGACCCATCCAAACACTCATCTTCTGTTAGCTTTCCATCCACTGACTGTTTGCTCTTATCCTCATCTGTAAAGTTAAAGATCGTACGATCAGCTGATGGGCTAATGAAAGCCATCCTGATCAATAATCTTTCTTTAAATGATGAATCCGAACAGCTCTGTTTACTGTGTTGTTTGTTTTCTTGAACAAACCTCTGACCCTCTGATCTTGTGTGCAGTCTCAAGATGATCGAGACACTCGCAGGTTTCAGCTGAAGATCGCTGAGCTCAGCGCAGTTGTTAGGAAACTGGAAGATCGAAACTCTCTGCTGTCTGAAGAGCGAAATGAACTGGTAAAGATGCGCTACCCTCCAGAACACACCCATCTAAAGCGAAGCACTTTCCCCACACCAGCACAGTCAGGGCTCAAATTCAAGTTAAAATGTCTTTTTAATCTTTGAATTTATTTCAAAATCATTTTGTCCTGTTCAGCTGAAACGTCTGAGAGAAACAGAGAGTCAGTTTCTTCCCCTTCTGGATAAAAACAAACGTTTGAGCAGGAAGAACGAAGAGCTGGCTCTCGCCCTGCGTCGCCTTGATAACAAACTTCGCTTTGTGACGCAAGAGAACTTGGAAATGACAACTATGGTAACTATGGTGACCACACACAACACTCATTTTTCCATTTGAACCAATTAATAGCAAAAAATGCATCAAGATATCAGCTGACAGAAAAACACCTGAGTTGAGTTACTGCTTCTCACCAGCAGGTGTCAGTGTTAGGGTTGAACCCAGTAAACCCAAACAGGCAGAAACATTCTCATGACTGAGCCGTGATCCGGTTCTGCTGGTTCTGAACAGCCAACAGAACCGTCGGTACCAGCCTGATCTCCTTGTTTTCTACAGAGGAGACCCAGCTCCCTCAACGATCTGGACCGGAGTCACTCCTCAAGTTATCATGGCTACCACCAGGATGAGCGCGAGATGGAGTTTCTACGGCTACAAGTGGTGGAGCAGCAACACGTCATCGATGACCTCTCCAAGGTACAACAGAAACTACAGCAATACTACAACTTTGACGGCCATTTTAAATCTCCTCTCTGTGATTTCAGGCTCTGGAGACGGCAGGTTATGTGAAGAATGTCATTGTGAGTATTGAGCAGCTGCTGCCTGTCAGGTACTTTCTGTGTAACCCATTAACATTGGGAGATGATGCGTACTCGTCTGTGATGTTCAGTCAGCTGATGACCTTCAGGTCAGCGAGGATGAATAAAAACGTTTGGTTTGTTCTAGGAGCGGGACTTGTTACTGAGGTACCGACGTCAGGAACCGGTGAAGAGGAGGAGAACCTTCAGAGCCTGCAGGGTGAGAACCTTCTGGTACCTCCAGAACCACCCTGCAGCAAAGCCATTGTCATTATGCCAGCATGAGTACCAGAACCACAAAATCACATCTTGAGTAACTAATATTTGTACTTGTACTGGAGATAGCTGTGCTCCTTTAGATACCTGTACTATATACCGTGTGTACTTCCACTGAACCAGCCCTTCATCTGATAGAACTACTACAAATAGTTGAGTAGAAGAACTCTGAATAGTTGAGAGATCCCGTTTCAAAGTCTTCAGATTGATGGTCCTGAATGATGTTTGGGTTCTGGTCTTCGTTTCAGGCTGATGTCCAAAGAGGCGACAAACTGTCCTCAAGTAAAAGTCGTAGTACTCCGGTCTATTTATGCTTAAGCAGAAGTAAAGAGTCGTCTTCTTAAACTGGTTCAAGAGTGAAAAAGTATTTGCTAAAATACTAAAGTACAGAGGAACTGGCTAGAATATCTAATATTGAAAAGTTATGGAATTAGTGAAAAATATAAAGTCATCTGCAAATTCAACTATTTTAAAGATTAAAATCAAAATGTAAGTAGTTAGTACCCAGAACTTCCACATCAGACTCTTTCAACTCCTCTGCTGTTTCTGAGGACTTGTTGACCTGCATGATGACTGCGTCATGTGTTTATCTGCAGGTCATAGAGACATTTTATGGTTATGATGAAGAGGCATCGATGGATTCTGACGGGTCGTCTTTGTCCTTCCACACTGACAGAACTCCAGATACGGAACCTGACGAGGTAACAGTTCAGAACTTAAACCCTAACCTGCCTTAACACCCTCGGCCTCAGCAGCTTCAGGTCCCGAGAGCAAGAACAAGAAGCTGATTTAAATGTTGGAACTGCTCCGACTGCTTTTTCTGACTGACTGCTGCTGCTTTCAGACTTGTGTTCGTGAGGAGGCAGAGCTTCGCTACCGGCAGCTTACGCAGGAGTACCAGGCACTGCAACGGGCGTACGCGCTTCTGGCCGAGACATGCGGAGGAAACTACGACGCTGAGAAGGAGATCAAGGTAGATGGCCTCTGAGCAAGGCAGCAGCAGAGTGGTGAATTCTCGCTGAGCAAGCAAAGGATGATGGTTCTGTTTCATGTCTTTCAGACCAGAGAACAGCTGCTGAATGAAATCAGTCGATATCAGAGCAAAGTGACAGATCTGGAATCAGCACTGAAGCATCAAGGATTGGTAAAAATAAAAATAAAAAATAGCAAATTGCAGAAACTCAGATGAAGATGAGATCATTCTGAAAGGCTGAGCCTGACCAACGGGTGGAGGAGGGGCAGGCTTCAGTTTATTTATTTTTTTAAAGGTTTTATTGGTTGCATTGGCCTTTATTTCAGTATGAAAGAGGGGAAAGACATGCGGCAAAGGTCATCAGGCCGGGACTTGACCTTGTGACGTCCGTGTTGAGGCCTAAGGCCGTGCTTTACCCCTGCACCCCCACAGCACCCCCAGTTTATTTCTGGATTTTTATTGGCTATCAGAGATCACCGGCCCATCCCAACCCTTCCTCCTTCCTGTCCTTCAGATGCCTGTTCATGTTAAGTGCGTCCCAATTCTTCCACTTCCGGCCTTAGCCACGCCCGTTTTGGGTCCAATTTCCACCCTTTCTGCCTAATCCTGCGTGCAGGAAGATCCAAGTACATTTCCCACAATTCATTGCTGCATGTGAAGCTTGGCATTAAACAGTGGATTTATGGCAATGTTTTTGGGGTGTGCAATATTCAACATGTCATAAGAAAACAGATTTAAACAGCCAAATATTTCCTGTAATAACTCTGGAAAGCAAAAACATCTCCAGTGTAAATTTAAAGTAAATTATTGTGTTGCATTTGTACGTTTTAGAAGTAAATGCCTAAACAGGGACCAATCCGCAATTTTGGACCTCGAAGTTGTGGTGCAGAGGCAAACTGTCCCAATTCTCACATTTCTGCACGTTAGCAACCTGAACACTTGAACCCTTGTTGATTTTCAGTGCACACTTCATGGAGGGACAAGGCCCTTTATGTTAACGTTTTGTTTTCATGACTTCTCAGATCGGACCAATCAGGGCCAGGCATTCCTCATCTCGTTTTGGTCTGTGATTAAGAGAACTGCTCCCTCCAAGGGGGTTGATCCTATCCCAGCAGCAATTTGCCCTGCATAGGTCAAAGGTCGATGCCCAAACTCAAAGATTCCCCGTCTTTCAAAAATAGAAAGAAGTGGTTCTTTTCCTAATAGGTGTCAGAGTTCAGCATTCATTTTAAAGGAGGCCTATTGTGCAAAATTCACATTTTGCACATTTTTCTGGTTCTGGACCCCATTTGGGTCTCAACTGCTATCAAAACTGCCCAAGCAAAAGGAACAGACAAAAATCTCATCTCCAAATGATTTACCCAAAATATGTACTGAACATATTCTGTGTAGCTTGGTGTGCAAACTGGTGGGACATGGTGAAGGGTGTCTGAGTTGTGCCATGTCTCTGCTCTCAGGACATGAAGTGGGTGGAGGAGAAGCAGGCGCTGTATCAGAGGAACCAGGAGCTGGTGGAGAAGGTGAAGCACTTTATTTAAACTCCTGAAGCTTTGAGGATGTTTTGAACCACCAACAACTTCTTGGTTTCTTCAGGGTTGACTAACCTCAACAGCGGAGATCTTGGAGTTATTGTTAAGGTGGTTCTGGACTGGGAATCAGCCTTTTGACCAATTCCTGTCAGATCGTTGGCACCAGAGGTTCAGTGTGGGTCAGAGGTCAAGAAGATATCAGAATCTGATGTCAATAAATGTGTTTCATTCACAACTTTAAAACAGTAACTGTACAATGGGTTGATTCAGATGTGTGCGCAAACTGAAGCCCAAACTCTTGTTGGTCCTGATTGTTGCCACCTCTCAGGTGGTGCAAATGGAAGGTGAGGCGCTGCGACTGAACAACGACATTCAGGACATCAGAGACCAAAATGAGTTGCTGGAGTTCAGGATCTTGGAGTTGGAGGTACCGCTGGGTTTGGGGTCATGGAGCGATGCTTGTGTTGTAATTACTGATTATCAATAACTTTCATTGTCACTGTCTCTGTTCCCATGGGGAAAGGAGAGGGAGCGCCGTTCACCCGGCATTAACTTCAAACAACTGCACTTCCCAGAAGGTCTCAGTCCTCTTCAGATCTACTGTGAGGCCGAAGGGGTCTCTGTGAGTAGCATTCGGTCTCACCTGCAAGCTAACGTGCACTCACCAAACACCCAGATAGATTACTCCTGAACATTTCTGTTCATGCAGAAAACAACACAACATCCATGTGAAAACATTTTGTGGCTCATTATGAACTTGTGACAATGACATGAACTCACCGATGGAATGACTCTTGTCCCAGCAGGACATTGTCATCAGCGAGGTGCTGAAGAAGTTGGACATCCTGGGGGATAACGCCGTAAGTGTATGTTGACTTTATCTTGTACATGTATGTGCAAAGTATAACCATCAGATCTGTGTGTGCTGTGGAACCACCCATGTTTAACTCTTTATAACTTTGTCTAATGCATAAAGTAAAACTACATGTTTGTTACCTTATGTTACATCACTGATGACAAAATGAAAAGAAATAATCCCACTGATCTCAGAACCGGTCCCGGGGACTCCGGTCTGCCTCACTGGTTACTGGTTTGTTGGAGGCGTCCAGTTGGTGGCTGTGATCACCAGACAAAGGAAGCTGGTTTTGTCTCCTTTGGTTCTGAAGACCTGAAAGTTTCAGTTTTATTGTTCATATTACACCAACACACCTGAGCTTTCAGGATTTCAGTCACAGACGTTTTTTGAACATCCTTGGATCTCGTAAAGGACCACATTTAAAAACAGAGCATATGCCAAAAACCATTGCCATGCTTTATTGTAAGTATTCCAACAGTAAGTCCACTGCATAAATCCAGGACAAGAACAAGCTTATCATTATCTTCTGAAATCTGAAACTGCATGCAGTTGCCCTCAAACGTCATCCGGTCAACTCAGTTATGTTCACATTGGAGCTTTTTACATCACATCCTCCAATCTTTCCAGAGACATTGAAATTTCAAGTTCCTCACACTTTAAGGTCCAACATGTCCGTTTTCTCACAAAGAAAATGTGTTCAATGAAATCGTCAGCAACTTAAAATTGGTTTGGCTTGGACCTTCACCCACCTGAACCAGTGAACCAATCAGCAGCTGGCCATGGGAAGGACTGAGGAGAACCAGTGAAACCGTCCTTAGAACTCGGCGTAAGGCAGCTATAGGCCCTAAACCCAACCTGAACAGACCCGACTTTAGCTGAAAAGCCTTTCCTGTTTCTGTTGATACTCAGATGAAAATATGTTCTGATGATCTTACCTGCTGGTCTTTTCTTGTAGAATTTGTCCAATGACGAGCAGGTGACCGTGATCCATGCAAGGACGGTGCTCACTCTGGCAGAAAAGGTGAGAAACATTTGGTCCACAAGCTGCAACTTCAACTAATTTTAACACTTCAAGCAAGAGAAATGCTTGGTTTCAATATATTTACTTGGATATCAAATGAAAAATGAAGTGACTTTGTTAAAGGTTGTAGAGCTTTTCTTGTCCTCTAGAGGCGACCCAGTGCCTGCACAGTTCAGAACCACCTGACTGCCTCTGTCTGCTCTTCCAGTGGTTGGAGTCCATCGAAGTGACCAAGTCGACTCTACAGCAGAAAATGTTGGACATCGAGAACGAGAAGGTAAAGACGACCTTTCTGCTGTCATACCAGCTCTATAATCTGACAAAATCTGATAAGTTCATAAGTCATGTCTCCATGATGACAGTCAACCTGCTGCTGATGTTCTGGCGACAGAACCCTTTTCTATTGCTCTCTTTATGATGGTTGAAGCATTAAAGCATTGCATCTGATTTTATCCAACGAATCATCACAACATGAAGCTTCAGTTCAGTTTGAACTCATGGTTTGAAGCAATATCTCAGCAGAGCCTGATAAAAGGTTAAAGGTCAGCGAGAGTGAGGATTGCAACTCCCAGATGCAAACAATCTTCATCAGAAAGTCAAACTGTCTGACCAGCATTTCTCTCTGTTTTTAATAAAAACGTTCAAAAATGATCAATGAAATCTCATGACATCAGCGGAAGAAGGAACTTTTATTTGAATTAATCAAAACCCAGATTGTCAGATAGATTCATAATAATTTTAACCAGGAAGATCGAAAGGTTTTACTCACTGACATGAACTTTAAGACCATCAATAAGTGAATGACTGCAGTCACATCTGCTACAAACCGATTCACAGTGTTTGAAGATATTTCTATCATTAGAATGATTTCTGTCGGCTCAAGTTCATCATATTTTCACTGATTCATCTCCAGGATCTCTTCAGAAAACAGAAAGGTTACCTGGATGAAGAGCTGGACTTCAGGAAGCAGTCCATGGATCAGGCCCATAAGGTCAGTCCAACCACATCAGTTACTGGATTTAGAAACAATATAGAAATAAGAACAAACATCCAACATCTTTAATCTTTGAGTTATTGTGGTATTTAATAAGCTGCTTTGCCTCAAAGTGCTTTACATGATTAGAACGAAAATAAAAGAAGCAGAAAAAATATGATATTGAATAGGAAAAGTAGGAAATCGATGATCAGATGATAAATAGTTTCTGGGGTTCCAGTTATTACTGGTCAAAAGAATCTCGAAACTAATTAGTATTTAGTCTGGATTTAAAGGAACTCAGCGATTTGGCTGAATAGAAGCTAAAAGCTGCTTCTCCATGTTTGGTTCTGGTTCTGGTGCAGAGCAGAACCAGAACCAGCAGATTGTTCCAGCAGCAGCAGATCTTTAATCCATTTAGTGATTTATAAACTGGCAGCAGCTTAAAGTGAAGGAATGTGGAACCGGGCGGTGTAGAACCGGGCTCTGTGGAACCGGGCGCTGTAGAACCGGGCTCTGTGGAACCGGGCGGTGTAGAACCGGGCTCTGTGGAACCGGGCGCTGTAGAACCGGGCTCTGTGGAACCGGGCTCTGTAGAACCGGGCTCTGTGGAACCGGGCGGTGTCTCTATCTTCCTGGTTCTAGTCAGAACTCCAGCAGCAGGTTCTGGACCGTTGGTTTGTCATCAGACCTGCTGCAGGAATCAAAGCCTGGATGAGTTTTTCTGGTCAGAGACTTTACTCCCTCTGGTTCTGCAAATGTTCTGGAGCTGGAAGAAGGCCAACTTTGGAACCGGCTTTGACCTGAAGGGTCAGGTCAAAGGTCATTACTACATGATGATAAAGAAGCATTATCCTCCAAACTGATAACAAGATGGAGATTCAATGACATTCTACTGTGTTTGACTCAGAGAATCTTGGAGCTGGAGGCCATGTTGTTCGAGGCTCTGCAGCAGGAGGAGGCTTCCAGGACTCCAGGACTAATGAAGGGAGAGAGTCGACTGTCTGACATGTTGACAGAAGGAGAGAAAGAGGAGCTGAGGAGAGCCATGGATCAGTGGAAACGATGTGTGATGTGTGAGCTAAGAGAAAGAGATGCCCAGATCCTTCGAGAAAGGATGGAACTGCTTCAGCTCACGCAGCAGGTGAGCAGCTTCAAATATTATAGATACATTAGTTTTACTCACAGTCTGGTTCATAATCTACAGAGGATTCCACTTTTGCCCAATTACTAGTCATTTCCAAAGAAACAGAGGCATGTCAAGTAGTGAAAAGCTCCAGATGACATCAGATCTTCCCCTCCGAGGGCGCGCTGTGGTGATAGCACGACTTATGTTTGGAGGCCTTGAGTCCTTGATGTGGCCGTTGTGGGTTCGATTCCCGGACCCGACGATATTTGCCACATGTTTTTTCCCCTCTCCTGTCAGCAAACTTTTATATAAGGGTCACTAAAGCCCAGAAAAATCCCAGGGAGGGAAAAAAAGTCTTCCCCTCAGTATGGACCAAACGGCGAAGGAGAAATCTCCTCCATGGTGTAACGTGATTATAATTATTATTACCAATAATTCACTTGGGCTATAAAAAGCAAAATAAAAAACTTACCTCAACACAGAAAACCCTGAGAACAGCTCCACTCTGAAAAGCTCCATCAGTCCTGATGTGCAGCTGCTTCTCCTGGAGTGAAGATGATGCAGAGATGCTGGTTCACATCCAGCTTCCTGGTCTGCTTGCCAGCTCTTTCTGCCTCTGTGTTAAAGAATCATGGATCGGCTCCTGGGAGCCATAAACTTAACCAAACCATTTATCCTTTAATTAACAGAGTAAGAATGAGGATTTACACACACGTCCAAACTTGGCATCAGGGATTTCTGTGAGATTTACCAACATGAATGCAGTGAGATTAATACCAAAAGATTGAAAGTAGAGCAGAATGACAATGGAACCTTGTAATGATGATACGTTTGTGCTGGACAGAGGAACAAGGAGCTGGAGGAATGTATAGAAGCACAGAAACGACAGATCAAAGAGCTGGAGGAGAAGGTAAGAAGAACCAGAAAACCTTCAATCTATTCCTACTGCCAGCTCCACTGATTCTTTTCTTTTTTCCAGTTTCTGTTTCTATTTCTGTTCTTCTCTTTGGCCTTCATCCTCTGGTCCTGAATGCAGCAGGTGAGTCACACACAAGTGTAGTTCAGGTTGAGGAGTCCTCGCCGCTGCGTGGCGAGACTGTAGACCGGGTATCTAGAGTCCAACTCCCTGTCCTTGCTTCTCTGGGCCCAGGCCTCTCTCCCCAGGTCTCTCTCAAATAAAGGCAATCTGCTTTTATTTGGCAGATTGCTGTCAAATAAAGGCAACTAGAGCCAAAAAAAATCTTACTCCAAACTGCTGGAGTGATGTGGGCCAATGCGTCTTCATCCCTCCAGCTGATCAGCATCAGCCTGCTGTTGAAGCTCTGATAGGAATACTGTCCAACATCTGGAAACAAAGTCCAGGCTTCACTCTGAGGGCCTGAAGGGGGCGCTCTGATCAGCAGAGGAGCAGCGGGACGCAGCGCCGGATCCAACTGTAACCAGAGAGGATCCGGTCACGATTAGTTTGGCTGGTGATGATCCACTGTGAGACAATCTGACTCCTAAAACTGCAGCCATCCAGAGATCATCAGCATCAGCCGGTGTGTGAAAGAAAAAGTCAGAGCTGACTTTGTGCAACTTTTGAGACTTTTCTCCGCTGCTCAGGAAGAAGTCCAGGATGATGATCTGTTTCCATTCATTCTGCATAATGGACTTATTAAATGCTGTTTTTTATCAATATCTGCGGAGAATTTTGCTGATAAAGCCTCGCTTACGTCACTATGACATCACAGCGACGAGTCGACTTCAAATCGACGTTTATCAAAAAATCTTGAATAATCTGAAGTCATTCAACCCCTAGTTTTTATTCAGATGTCCACATATTAATAGAAAACGCTGTTTGATCAAAAGAGCTTTAATAAAAAAGTTCCTAACGAATCTTGTTGATCTGAGAGGAACAACCAGGACCCTGAACGCCTCATCAGCATCTCGACACAATTTAACTCATCTGTCAAAGGTCATCTTCTTCTGTTTCACTTGTTACATGAACTATTTATTATTTAGTCAATGCTAAATGAAATGAACTTATATAACGATTTTCCAGTCATTTTGACCCCACAAAGCGTTTTACACTAGAGTCACATTAACCGATTGGCACTCACAGACAAGCACACATTTATACACCGATACGCAGATCGGTGGGCAATTTGGGGTTAAATGCCCTGAGGTACAACGACATGTGGCAGGAGGAAGCTGGAATCGTACCTACAACCATCCGATCACAAGAAGACTACTCTTCCCACACAGGCATAGTTGCTGTGAAATAAAGGAAAGAAATTATTAACTCCACCTGCTACTAGCACCACCTACTGGTTTGTGGAGTTGGTTTTAGATGCTCAGATAAATTCTGTAGTCTGGGAAATCTTTGGGTCCAGATGTTCAGTGGGAACTTTAGAATCTGAGTCATTCTGTTCCCAGGGTTTCCTCAAGTGTTTGGTCTCTTGCTCCTTTTCACAGCAGTTTCTTGTTTCTCTTTCTCAGCCCACTAGAGACCACCAGGTGGACACTCAGCAGTGCCGGCTCAGTCTGGACCAGAACCGGGACACTGTAGGACCTTGCAGCTCTGAAGCCAGTGAAACAAAGCACATTCCACCCTTCTTGTTGTCAGTTGCTTTGTAACGACCACCTTCAGGTGGAAACAAAGCTGAGATCAGGCCAGTGATACCCGAACCCTAAAAACATCTGGCTTTCAGCTGAGTGACACCTGCACAACTGCTTCTAGAGTCACTGAGGCGGAATGCAACACCATCCGTCTCAGAACCGAACGCTGAACATAGAAATGTCTTCACCACACGAGGAGGTCTGCTGAACAGAACCAGGAAGCCCAACTGAAACCCGGTTCAGACACTAACCTGCTGCGTCCATAGGAGGCAGAGGTGAGTCGACTAACGTCCCGGCCGAGGCCATGAGACGACCTGCAGAGACGAGGGAGAGATTGCGATGACCTTCAGAGTTCAGGTCATCTGATGCCTGGAAGTTTTTTAGAAATGCATGTTAGAACGCAACATGCATGCGTCTCCCACATGGGGGCAGGTCTCATCGAGACCCGAAGCAAAAACTTCCTGCCAGAGGACGCCGAGTTTCTTCACCAGGTGCTGGAGGCGGATCCAACCTCCTCCGTGTTCATAAGGAGATCCGACTCCAAGTGGAAACTTTTAAAACCCAAATAGTGTTTACTTCATGGAAAAATGTTCCTGGTTTTATTCCTGTTCCTGATGATGGAAGATAACTTTACTGCTTTCAGCTAATTTAATAAAACAGATGAAGTTTTTATTCTGCTACTGGAGATAATCTCATTCATCTGAAATAAAAACATTGAATATTTTGTACTTTTAAGTCAATTTTTAATTTTTTTAAATTAAAGGCATCCTTCTGATCACCTTTCATTTTGAAGTGAGCTGGCAGTTTGTGGTCATCATCAAAGTGTAGAAAGAGCAGAACTCAGTGTGGATCCTGCTCATCTTCAGTTCCAACAGTCTGGACTTTTATGACCCCAGATTCTATTTTTCTAGCCCTGCTGTGAAACTGAATTCATCACTGAGATTAAAATGTTGCACATGAGAGCCCAGGTGTGTGTGTTGTGTTTTTGATGATGGGAAACACTGACAGTGTCCAACACACAGATTTAAGGTCAGAGCAGCGAAACCTGAAACCTCGGCAGACGGTCCGGACCGGCAGCGTTGACCCGGGTTGCTGGGTGACCTCAGAGACCAAACGAATGAAAAGCACAAAGCCAGAGAAAGCTGCAGAGCCGTTTCCCTATAAAGCAGCTCTTATCAGGTTCGTAATGAAGTTCTGCTGCAGCCGGGTTCTGTCAGAGGAGCTTCAGCTGACTGGGTCAGAACACACAAGAATATGTTTACAGGGCGCCTGGATCTCTGGAAACGTCTTCATTCTAAGAGCAAATGACCAAATTTGCTCTTTAAAGCCAGAGCTGCTGCAGCGCTGCTGCAGCGCTGCTGCTGCAGCGCTGCTGCTGCAGCGCAGCATCGATCCAGGTTTCCATCTGGACCGGACTCTGGGCCGGAGGAGGCCGGGTCCAGATTATCCAGCACAAGAGTCAGGATTCGTCCAGCTTCATGTGGATCACAAACAGGTTCTGGTCCAGATCAAAATCAAAGCTGGACTGGATCCCGCAATGAATCGGATCAGATCATTTTTACAGGCATTTCTATGGAAACCCTGCAGAGGATCCGGACTTACAGCACCACCTTCTGACCAGCAGGGGGTGACAGTAGAGAGGAGAGAAACAGAACCAGAATCAGTACTGGGTTCAGAATCAGCAGTCATCTGCCTCCTTTAATTCCCAGCATGTGACAATCCGGTACCATCCAGAATCATCCGGTACCATTTAAAATCATCCGGAACCATCCAAGACCATCCAGAACCACACAGAGCAGAGCGAGAAGCCCAAAGTTAGGTTGAGTCCAGTCGGGCTGAGCCGGGTCAACCCAACTGTGGGTCAATTCAAGCTGGGCGGTTCCGTTGTGAAGTCAGCTGTTGATTGGTTCAACAGTCCAGATCTCCAATTGTTGATGTTCTGTTTGACCTGATGCGCTGACCCAACTTGAATCTGGAACTAGAAAGAAGAAGAAGAACCAGGAGTTGCTGACCATAGAAGAAGAAAATGCTCCAAAACAACTAACAGCATCTTTAACAATCTTTCCAAACTGGACCAGAACCAACCAGCTTCCTACCAATAGCACCACATCTCTGTGGTTCTGAGGAGCTATTCCAGGACCGCTTCAGTGACCCAGTTGCAGTTCAGTCCTAAACCCAGTCATCCCATTAAACCCAGTGCGCAGTGATCTGGGTCAGGCTGGGATCTAAGGAGAGCTGACATGAGAGGAGCTCCGGGTCAGGCTCCTCGTCTCTCTGGCCCGGTTTACCGGCTCTGTGAGGTCCAGTAGTTTCACAAATAACGCTGCGTCTGATTTCCATCAGTCGGTCTGGTTTCCTCAGTCACACGCCAGAGAGTGAACCAGGTTTTCATACGTTGTGGGGACATTTTGGTCTCCATGAGGGGAAACGCCGTTTTTGGGTCAGGTTGTAGAAAATGGGTGGAAATCAGCGAGAAGTCCCTGCAAGACACAAAATCATGGCTGTGAATGTGTGTGTGTCTGTCTGTCTGTCTGTCTGTGTGTGTGTGTGTGTGTGTGTGTGTGTGTGTGTGTGTCTGTCTGTCTGTCTGTCTGTGTGTGTGTGTGTGTGTGTGTGTGTGTGTGTCTGTGTGTGTGTGTCTGTCTGTGTGTGTGTGTGTGTGTGTGTGTGTGTGTGTGTGTGTGTGTGTCTGTGTGTGTGTGTCTGTCTGTGTGTGTGTGTGTGTGTGTGTGTCTGTGTGTGTGTGTGTGTGTGTGTGTGTGTGTGTCTGTGTGTGTGTGTCTGTGTGTGTGTGTGTGTGTGTCTGTGTGTGTGTGTCTGTGTGTGTGTGTGTGTGTGTGTCTGTGTGTGTGTGTGTGTGTGTGTGTGTGTGTGGTGTGTGTGTGTCTGTGTGTGTCTGTGTGTGTGTGTGTGTGTGTGTGTGTGTGTGTGTGTGTGTGTGTGTGTGTGTGTGTGTGTGTGTGTGTGTTTTCATTTTCCTGCTCATTGGAGCTGAAACAGTCCAGGTCACATGACCTCAGTCTCAACTCTTTTCCAGCCAACAGAACCATCGGTTCTGGTGAACCATCTCCTCCTTCAGAGTTCTGGCATCTCCGGGTTTGACCCGAAGAAAGAACAGAACCAGAAACCCAGAATCTTAGTTGGGTTCCAGAACTGGTCAGGTTTTAATAAGACCTTTGGTTTTTTGCCGTTTGTGGATCTTTTGGCTTCTTTTTCTCCTCCTCTTCCTCCCAGTCTAGTCAGCCAGTGCCGGCTCTTTTTCCTCCTCCTCGTCATCATTTGTCAGCAGCATGTCTGAGCGGCGGTTCTGTCAGGAGGACGACCAATCCTCTCTCCTGTCCCGGCTCGGTTCCGATTCTCCTCGTCCTCGGATGAAGTTTGGAGGAATGTTCTGCAGCGTGGAAGGAGCTTTTGAGAACAAAACCCTGAACTTCGAGTCCTTCAGTCCTCGGCTGCAGCGGCGCGGCGCCGGTCCGACCCAGACGGGAGACCAACATGGAGGATGGACCGCTGTCCTTCCATCTGGACACACCCGGGAAAACTACGGCAAGAGAGAGGTTTATTACTTTCTACCTGCATTTGTTTATAGATCATAGAAAAATACACCTAACAGAATCTAACAGAACCATCAGAACCTGGGTTTGGTTCTGTTTGGACTGGGTAAGGTAAGGTCATTTTATTTATGTAGCATTTTATATATTTTATTATAAAACATTATCCTGCAACAATAACATGTCACTTTCTAAGTTAACCAGAAGAAAAGTTATACAAAAATCTGAAGTTATATTCAATACAGTAATAAAGATGTAGACTCACAGATACGCTTATAAAAATGTCCATAGCGCAGCTTTTGGTTTATTTATTCATCGCCAGTCAGTTGAATAGTTGAACTCTGACCTTGCCCAGATATTTACAGCTATGTGTTCATATCAGCAACGGGATCTGATTCTTAGTTCATCACACAAACTCATTATCAGCTTCGCTCCGTCACCATTAGTTGAAACTGGGATCAGGTTTCCCCCAGAAAACTTGCTGACTCAGCGCCGAGGCGTCCAACATGTTTTTCTATGAAAGATGTTATTAGACAAGAGAAATAAAAATATTACTGCATAATTATATGTTAGGGGAAAACATTTCCAGTGTTGAAACTAGTTGCACCCACAACTAGTTTTAAAAACAACAAATCAAAAAATAAAATAAAAATCAAATATTTGCACTTCTGTTTCATCCAAATTAATTTACAGGGAAGATGTGAACGATGAAAACAACTTTTGTTCACCAAAATAAATCATTCTCACCACTCGCTCAACGCCACTTCTGAAAGCGACTCCCAGTTATTCCTGCAGTTCCCATAGATCAGCACAGAGTCATGATCCCACACCGGGTTGATGTGAGCATCCATACAGGGCAGCCTGTGTCCAGCTGATCTGAGTTGAACTTTGACATCAATTCATTTTCCGGTTTGTCTATAAAGCTTCACTGCAAGCATCATTTTAAGGGTGTTTATTGGTTCCCGAAAAATGACAAAAACCCGAACATTACTTGAAAAATGGATGTTATGCTGCAAACACTGAGCTTTCATCAGCAAGTCAGGCGGAAGAGGGAGAACGCTGCGCAACACAAATGAGAACCCGGCCGGAACACGGTCTAAACAGGCAAATCAATTTTCCTCTTGGAGTTTGAATAATCGGATACCCGAATCATTCGAGGAATCGTTTCAGCCCAGCACCACAAAACTGCTCCGAACTGGACCTGCTGAGGAAGAATCCAGAGCCTGGACAACATCCAGAGTCCTGATCCAGAGTCCTGATCCAGAGTCCTGATCCAGAGTCCTGATCCAGAGTCCTGATCCGGAGTCCTGATCCAGAGTCCTGATCCAGAGTCCTGATCCAGAGTCCTGATCCGGAGTCCTGATCCAGAGTCCTGATCCAGAGTCCTGATCCAGAGTCCTGATCCGGAGTCCTGATCCAGAGTCCTGATCCAGAGTCCTGATCCGGAGTCCTGATCCGGAGTCCAGATCCAGAGTCCTGATCCAGAGTCCTGATCCGGAGTCCTGATCCGGAGTCCTGATCCAGAGTCCTGATCCGGAATCCTGATCCGGAGTCCTGATCCAGAGTCCTGATCCGGAGTCCTGATCCGGAGTCCTGATCCGGAGTCCTGATCCGGAGTCCTGATCCAGAGTCCTGATCCAGAGTCCTGATCCGGAGTCCTGATCCGGAGTCCTGATCCGGAGTCCTGATCCAGAGTCCTGATCCAGGGTCCTGATCCAGAGTCCTGATCCAGAGTCCTGATCCAGGGTCCTGATCCGGAGTCCTGATCCGGAGTCCTGATCCAGAGTCCTGATCCAGGGTCCTGATCCAGAGTCCTGATCCGGAGTCCTGATCCAGGGTCCTGATCCGGAGTCCTGATCCAGAGTCCTGATCCAGGGTCCTGATCCAGAGTCCTGATCCAGAGTCCTGATCCAGGGTCCTGATCCGGGGTCCTGATCCAGAGTCCTGATCCAGAGTCCTGATCCGGAATCCTCCAGGTTCTAATTTGCAGTGGAACTGTTCAGAACCAGTGACCCATTAAAGGTGGCTCTTCTCATGCTGGAACCCGGTTCTGAGGATCGGAGTCCAACCGGAAGCTGAGATCTCACTTCCTGTTTACATTTCCTGTCTTCAATCTGAGCCGCTTGAGATTCCTACATCTGTTGCCATGGAAACCGCTCCGAACCTGGTCATTCTTCAGAACCGAGCCGGATTTCTTTCTTCAGAGCCGAACTGGGTCATTCTTCAGAGTGAAAACAATAACGCAGTTTTTCTGCTGAACCGGAACCGAGCAGCAGATCATCCGAATTGGTGGTCACCATGGCAACTACAAAGCACTGCCTTTATTGTGAAGGTCCACACCGGAAACTGTCTGTGTATATCAGCTGGAGCTTGACGTCACAGGTGGCTGCAGCAACAATAGCTGCGGGTTCGTGTGAGGAGCAGAACCAGCCAGCTGATCCGGACCGACCCAGATCCGTCAGGATGTCCTTCCAGGTCAAGAAGAGACCCGCGGTAGGTCCACTCCGAACCGAACCGAGCCGAGTGCAGCCGAGATGGGACCGGGCCGGTGATGCTGCAGCTCCGCGTGTCTGACAGGGAGGAGATCCACCGAACCGAACCGAGAGGATGTGCAGCTTCTGGGCCTCATCTTAGCTGAGTCGTTTCGGTTCGAGATGTTTATGTGGGTTCTGCTGCATTCAGGGGAGGTGGGACGTTTCATGTTCCTGCATTGAAAGCTGATTTTCTGGGTTCTGGAGAACTTTAAGGTCTAGTTTTATTTTTAATCTCATGTCAGAACCGTTCTCCTACCAGGGCAGTTGGTTCGGTTTTGGCAAAGAAACCAAACCAAAATTATGGAGACTTCAGGATGTTTTCCCCAGACCGGGTCCCTGGGGTCAGGGGTCAGGGGCCCCGCAATGGTTGCAGGTTAACTCATGATGCCCAGAAGCTGCAGGAATAATCAGCGTTCCCTGATTCTTATAAAAGCTGCAGGTTTGGATGAAGATGAAACGCCTCATTGAACCCTGAATCCCAGACTGGGATTCAGGGTTCTGAATTCCAGAACCTCTGATCCCATTCATAGATCCAGAGTTCCAGTACCTCTCCTCATCAACCACTAGCTTCCAGATAGGAACCAGAAAAATCCTCCATTCACATGATGCCCTCTCTGATGCTCCAGAACCAAAACCACTTCCAAGACCCATTTCCTTCTCAACAAACCCAGAGCCCGGTCATGTAGCTGGTTCTGTTCTGGAAGTTTAGGATTAACAGTTGATCCTCCTCAGACAGGAGAATCCTGGTCCAGGTTAGATATGGTCTCCGTTCACCTCAAGAATCTCGTCTCTGATGTTCTTCCAGGTCACAGAGGTCACAGAGGACATGTTGGATTCAGGAAGTCTTGTTTTTATCATTAAGGTCCTGAGACTCCTGGTTGGTTCCTCCAACATCCCTCTTTCATTGTGAACATCCATATGAAGACTTGGGTTAGATTGAGTCGACCCTGGTAGTGAACTGGGTCGTGTTGAGCTGTGTTCTTTTGGGTCACGTCGGGTCAAATTGAGAATCCTGGATGTCAGCAGCCATCTCTTCCTCCTTCCCCACAAACCTCTCTGTTTCTGTTTCCAGGGAGACCGTATCATCATCAAAGGAGGAAAAGTTGTCAATGACGATCAGTCATTCTACGCCGACATCTACGTTGAGGATGGGACGATCAGGTACATCTTCACAGCCACAGTCCTCCTGTGGCCGAATGACCTCACCTGGTCACCAGGTGTCAGTGTGAGCTCCTCTGACACAATCACACTTCCGGTTTCCTGACAGGCAGATAGGCGAAAACCTGATTATCCCATCAGGTGTGAAGACCCTGGATGCGTACGGTCAGCTGGTGATCCCTGGAGGCGTTGATGCCAACACCAACCTCCAGGCCCCGCAGAAAGGCCTGATCCCATGTGACGACTTCTACCAAGGAACCAAAGCCGCCCTGTCTGGAGGAACCACCACCATCAGTCAGTGACCACCAATCATCCATCAGCAAACCCCCTTCTGTATGCCACCTCATTACTGTCTGTCTGCAGTCGATCATGTGTTGGTGGAGCCGGGCACTAGCTTGCTGTCGGCGTTTGATTTGTGGAAGGAGACAGCAGAGCAGAGGGCGTGCTGTGACTTTTCCTTCCATCTGGACGTCACCAGGTGGCATGAAGGCCTCTACGAGGAGCTGGAGATGCTCGTCAAAGATAAAGGTGATCAATAAAGATCAAAGAGACGGGGTGTAGGAGCTAATGGAATGTTTCTCAGGATTGATATGCAGCTGAGTCAACAATGTGTGTCATCATGGCTTAGATGGAAAGTTCTGTCAGGTTTTACTGGGTTCTTGAGATTCCCACTTATATCTGGGGACATCTAGGAAGGCTCTGGACTGTTTCCAGACTGATCCAAATGATCCTTCTTGACACCTGAGGAAGGTTTTAGAAAACCTTTAAAATCCAGACTCAAAAGAAACCAGGTTCTGGACCGTCACTTGGTCCATTTGAGATGCAGACCTGGAGAACATCTTGAGAGCCATTTCCCGATTACTTTCATAGCAAGACCAGAACCTTCATGATGACAGTAGAACAGTACCGCTGACTGCACTGCTGTGTTTCAGGGGTGAATTCCTTCCTCTTCTTTATGGCTTACAAAGACCGGTACCAGAGCTCAGACTCTCAGGTGAAACAGAAACATGTTCTTGTTTATTTGTCCTTGTCCACTTCCTGTTTGTTTATTCATCACTTTCTGCTTCCTGGGGCTCAGCTCTATGAGGCATTTGGGATCCTCCGAGATCTTGGAGCAATTGCTCAGGTCCATGCTGAGAACGGCGACATCATTGATGAGGTAACACACCTGGACAAGATGAACCACATTCAAACTGGTCTTAACTAGATTTTACTGGTTCTAAGTAGTCTGAAATGGTCTGTGTTTCAGGAGCAGAAAAAACTTCTCAGTGTGGGTATTACTGGACCTGAAGGCCACGTTTTATCTCACCCTGAAGAGGTAAAAGTACCTGAACCCTACATGGACGCCACCGGTGTGGTCTCTTTATGAGGTTCTGGTTCGGTGGGTCATTGGGAGTGATGACTCCAGCTGTTCTACCAATAATTTCATCCACTCCGGGTGGTTTTCTGTGATCAATGGTCTCGAACTCCAAGTAGCCTGCGACTTTTACATGTTTCTCTGCTTCACCTGGCTCCAGTATTGGCTCATCAGCAGAGCCCTGTAGAGTTGGACTGCATGCTAGTGAGGAAGTTTAGCCATTGAATTTACGTGTATGAGACAAAGGATGCATTTCAAAGCTGCATATCTCCAGTCCTCAAGGACTAGAGATTGAGACTACTGATGAAGAATAAAGGTGTTTTATCTACAGGCCGCAGACCTGACTGCTGTTGGGTTTGTGTTTCAGGTGGAGACTGAGGCAGTCTATCGGGCCATCACCATCGCCAAGCAGGCCAACTGCCCGCTCTATGTTACCAAGGTGATGAGCAAGTCTGCTGCTGATGTTATCGCCAAAGCCAGAAAAAAAGGTGAGAACCAGAACCAGTGTTCCTACAGGTCAACGTCAGATTCTGAGGTTCAACCGTTCTCCAGGAACCCATGAACCAGTTCGTTCAACAGCTTCTGTTGATGTCAATTTGGATTAACTCAGTGCAGAAGTCAGAGTTCAAGTCTGGAGGAAAGGGTCCGATATAGTTCAGACTTGGCAAAGATCTGATCTCTGGTCTAAGGTGAACATCTCATGTCAAACCTGACACCAGTTTCCACAGGTACTGGACTGCTGCTCCAGATCCTGGTGCTCCACAAAGCTCTTGTGTTCCGACTATGGAACTGAACTACTGGTGTCACTGAATGCCTCAGCTTTAGGAGTCAGGTTGAACCAAACCAGATCTGTGCCACCAAGCTGTAACTGTCTTTCTGTCCTCAGGTGTGGTTGTGTATGGGGAGCCAATCACAGCTGGCCTGGCCACTGATGGCTCTCACTACTGGGCCAAAGATTGGACCACAGCAGCTGCCTTTGTGATGAGCCCTCCCCTGAACCCAAATCCATCCACGCCACAGTATCTGACCTCTCTGCTAGCATGGTGAGCACACACCTCTCTGACTCCACTTTAGCCTAGCAGCAGGTGAGTCTAACAGGTGTTTTTACCCAGTGGCGATCTCCAGGTGACCTCCAGCGCTCAGGCCAGCTTCTCCACAGCTCAGAAGGCTGTCGGTAAAGATGACTTCACGCTGATCCCAGAGGGAACTAGCGGCATTGAAGAGAGGCTGTCGGTGATCTGGGACAGAGCTGTGGTAAGAGCCCTTCACCTGAAGCCGCTCTGACTGATGACATCACACTGATGACCCAAAGGTCAGATGTTCCTCAGCTCCATGAGGAAACAAGTGAGCTGCTGGTGGAAGGTCAGGTTGAACACCACATTAGCAACAGTGGCAGATATGGTTGGACAGTTGGGACTACACATGCAAATTAACTTAGACTACAAGCTGGTTTGCACATCAAATGGTGACATATATGTTGAGCTGTTCAATGTTCATATTTAGATAAAGTTCATTATGAAAAAACTAATAAAACTTACAGATACTTTAACATCCTAATATTCATGAGGTCGCCCTCTGCTGAGAGAATTTTGGAACACTATATCCTACGTGTTCCAATTTTAATATCTTTAAAATTAAAACAGCGTAAATGAGAATTTCATCGTCTCAAAGGTTTGAGAGCAGGTTTGATAGATTTGAAGGGGGGTGGTGACCTGTTTTTTTCAGGCTTCGCCGATTTCCATCTTGTTCTGTCTGCAGTCCACAGGAAAGATGGACGAGAACGAGTTTGTTGCCGTGACGAGCACCAATGCTGCCAAGGTCTTCAACATGTACCCACGCAAAGGTACGCAGCACTTCATGAGCACTGATGAGGCTTGAGGGGAAACGTTTCCGTCCCCAGAAAGTTGGCTGACGGGTTGAAGTCATCAAGATGCTTCATGAACAGCCAGACATAGATAGGGGGTGTGGCTTACAGGCCCATTGGTTCAGAGGTCATTCAGCTCCCTCCTGCCGTCTCTGTCAACTTGGAGGTGGAGTTAAAACATAAACTGGGGAACCAGCTCACCTGGTAACACTCAGCCACTCATCGAAAGGATTGATCCTCTTCCCCTTCGTAGTCGGCTGCTGGTCGCATCGTGCAGCTTCTAATTTCATCTGTTATGACACCTGGAGGACAAACTTAGAGCTTCTGGGTAAAATCCAGGGTGGGGTTTCTGGATGTTTTACTGGAAACTGGTGATCAGATATTATAGTCATTGGTAATCCCAGCTTACTGTGCGTGTGTGTGTGTGTGTGTGTGTGTGTGTGCGCCTCGTTCTTCAGGACGGATTGCTGTTGGATCTGATGCTGATATTGTAGTTTGGAACCCAAAAGAGACTCTAACCGTTTCTGCCACAACACACAACCTGGTAACCATTGGTTTGATTGGTTAGTTACTCAAACTAGTCCATCTGATCAGCAGTTACAGCCCCACCAACTTCTCTGTGCAGACCTTGGAGGTAAACATCTTGGAGGGTTTGGAGTTTCGAGGCGTTCCCACAGTAGTGATCAGCGGCGGTCGGGTTGTTCTGGAGGATGGACAGCTCAACGTGACCGAAGGCTCTGGACGCTTTATACCAAGAAAGCCTTTTCCTGACACCGTCTACAAGCGGATCAGAGCACGCAGCAAGGTAACTGGTGAACAACAATACAACCAGTTAAATCATAACTTGCAGGTTAACAGATCTGTGAACTGACCAATCAGAATCTTCTGATGTTTTGGTTTCCATCCTCCAGATGGCTGAAGCCCGCGGCGTTCCCCGTGGTAACTATGATGGTCCAGTCCATGACGTCATCAGTGTGACCAAGTCAGTCCCACCAACTCCAACCACCAGGGGTCCTACGGGGAGCAAAACCCCAACTGGCCCCCGAAACCTCCACCAATCAGGATTCACCCTGGCAGGTTAGGATCCTTTAGTGGGGACTGGCCAGGTGAGGTGCATTCTGGATGAATTGCTGATAATGTGATAAATTATTGGTCTTTCAGGGGCTCAGATTGACGATCACATACCCCGTCGCTCTGCTCAAAGGATTGTGGCGCCACCTGGAGGACGTTCCAACATTACATCTCTGTCTTAATCTGTTCATGTTCCAGCCATGTGTTGAACCTGAGTTCACTGAACTCTACAGTTCACTGGAGCCACCTGTACTGAAGAGTGAACACCTGTAGAGTGTTCACTGAAGAGTGAACACCTGTAGAGTGTTCACTGAAGAGTGTTCACTGAAGAGTGAACACCTGTAGAGTGTTCACTGAAGAGTGAACACCTGTAGAGTGTTCACTGAAGAGTGAACACCTGTAGAGTGTTCACTGAAGAGTGAACACCTGTAGAGTGTTCACTGAAGAGTGAACACCTGTAGAGTGTTCACTGAAGAGTGAACACCTGTAGAGTGTTCACTGAAGAGTGAACACCTGTAGAGTACAGTGAACTCTCCAGGTGAAACCATCTGACCCTCTTAGCCCACATATGTAGTTTAACTCCAGAACCTTCTAGTTCTCCTGAGGTCAAACTGACAACTTTAGTCCTGAATGTAGCTGTCCCACCCAGAACCCCACCATCGTGTTTAGTCAACCCCATGTAACCTGGTTCTAGACAGAACCGGTTTTGACCCGACAGGTCTGAAGCCCTCCGCATCAGCATCTGTTGCTGCAGATGTGGACCAACCACATTAGCAGCAACAGAACCGGCCCGACGAGAAAGATATCGTCTTTGTGACATCACGGTGATACGAGTAATGCTGACATAAAACACCAATGAAGCACAACATTACGACCACGTTGGCCTCTCAAAATACTTCCTGCCAGCTGCGAGATGAATGATGCCAGCCAGCCTGCCTGTGGTTGACCCCTGACCCCCCTGTGAGGTAGTCATAGCATTGATTCAGCAGACTAGAACTAGAACTAGGCTCAGTTCTGCTGCCGTTCTAATCAGTCTGGACCTCAGTTCGACACCACTGTACAAACACAAGACTCCTTAACCCCAGGTCAGAGTTCTAGATGGAGGACATGTTGGGTTCTGTGGCAGTACCACCCCACAGGTAGGACCCTCAGACCATCTTCTTGGTCATGTGACCAACAGCAGCTCATGGTTTTAGTGTAACCAGATGCAGTCTTTGTAGCATAACTTTAGATAATCCCAGAACCACTGTCCATCTTCAGATGGTTTTGGCCGTTTGGGTCATGTAGCAACTTTAAAACCTGGTTCTGTAGACCAGAGTTTTTTTCTCTGACTGTTGATACTGATAGCACAGCTCTAGCTGATCATTAGCATCCACACTGAAGGCCTGGAATCAAATACCGAGGGCTTTTAATTTGAAAAGGCTTGTCCCTGAGGTAAAGTGGTAACAATCAGAGTTGTTGACATCATGTGACTCTGCAGCCTGTGATGTCACATTCACATTTTTAATGTAGCATTTTCTAAGACTTTGTCTTAATTTTGTATTTTTACTGTTTTTGTACCTTGGCTGTGATTGGTTCAATGTTTGGGTCAAGGGTTACATTTGCGTTCCGAATATGATCCGTTTCTGATATCTACAACTGGATCCAATTTTACCAGACCCACCAACCCGAACCTGACCCGGGCCAGTCCAGGTTGAGTCGTCAGAATAGTTTTATGCTGAGATCATCATTCTGTGAAACCATTGGCTGGACATTAAGGTGGGCGGAGCCACCAGCTTCACCTTGCTGTTCAAATGGCCAACCTGATCAATGGCAGCTCAGTGACCACACCCTCCTCCTATTTTCACTCAATAGGTAGCATCAATGTTAGCATCACTGCTCCCATGTTGGAGTCCAGCTGTTGCTATGGAAACATTGACCACATGATTTCAAAAGGATCCAACCTTTAGCTTTTCCATAGGACACCGTGTCCATGGGTCACCTGACCAGCAGGTGCTGAGTTTAAGGGTTTGTTCAACCTAAACTCAGATTCATTTGGATTAGATCAGCAGACTGAAAGGTGTCCAAGATGGCAGCCAGGTGGTTTCTGGTCATCTTTCCGTTTTCTCGCACAGTGATCAGAAACGGTGTCCATGAGGAGCGTTACTATAGCAACCACACCTGTGATGTAGTAGTATTGTGATGGATGTTATTTGTTGTGATAATAGTCGCATGATTAAAGTGTGAAGAGAAAAACAGTAAGACGTCTCTTATTTTACAGCGTTTTTGGTTGGCGTTTCCTCAGGCGACGTGAGGAACCCGTTTAGACAGGCGGCGTATGGGGACAGGTACCAACTGGGCTGGATGTGGAAGGTCTTCAGGTTCTGCAGAACAGGACCGATCCGATCCAGTATTCCTGTTGCTGGACTGTTCAAACAGGCCAAGAGGGCAGATCTGGGAACATCTCCAGAAAACGAAGCGCTTTCAGATCCGTCTGAAGGAGGCTCCACTGATCTCATGAATCTCACAAGCAAATGTTCTGCAAGACCAAAGCTTTATTTGACATGTTTCATTTCATATTAATTTCACATTCAGGAAAATCCAGTTTTTCTTTTAACATCATCTAAATTAAAAGTTCAAGTTAAATACTTCCAGATTTATTCTTAGTTTAGAAATAAGTCTGAAAAGTTTCTAACTGGTCAGAACATCCTTTGTTTCAGCCTGGAAAAGCCGTCCAGTTTGTCTTGATAAATGCCACTTGGTCCAGCTAAGCCCAGCTGAAAGAAGTTCTGTTTTGTAGAGAAGGTCAAGTCAAGAGTTTAAAGGCTTCACTTATTTTCCATTTCTGGTGGCAAATTTCACAATAAATATATTTTTATGGTAAACTGATGGTACCTTTTGCAAGGACGATTGGGTCAGTACTTATTGGTGGTCAATAGGGTGAAGTGAAGAACTTCCTTCCAGGCTCCACTGCTCCTCTGAAAACATCCAAACAAACAGCAAACAGGAGTTCAGCAAAAACTAACAAGTTATTGTGGATGAAGAATGTCAAGAAATATGTAGTGGAACCTGGTGAACACAGGGGGGCGGAAGAGGGACACAGAGGACAGACTGTGAGACACAGTGGATCTTAAGCAGACCCTATAGTCCGTAAGACCGGTCCGCTCTGGTCTTACGTGGTGCTGAAGTCGTTTCCCGGGTTTCCTATAGTTTCTCGCAGAGAACCTGGACTGGTCATTCTGTAGATGCTGTTTAGCTCTGGAGACGTCAACGGCTGGAACAATCGACCTGAAAACCATTGGATCAGAACTTCAGTGCACCACTTGACAAAAGGTTCTGAATTTGGATCTGTGTATTTGGGTTCCACTGAGCCCTTCATCTTGGCTGAGCTTACTGGAGGAGGATGCAGACGGGTTCTGGTCCTTTCCCACGGTGAGGACTTGTCTCCAGTAGTTTTCAGGAATGGACAACAAGCAGCAAACAACCTGGGGACATGAGCAATTATTTGATTCAGATTCACCAAGGGGACCACAACCAGCTCAGAACCAAGGCCAGTAGACGTTTTAAACAGACCTTTGGCTGAGTGGTAGTGTCTTTCATGATGGTTGTTGGAGACGGCTCAGCGATGCTGTGACCCACTATGGTCGGTCCAAACACTCTGGCCAAGTTGTTCTGGTCCATCTGGCACTGAGGACTCCTCATCACCCTACATTTCAAGGAGAAGAGGTTGGTTCTGAAGACATGACAGCAGGTCCAGGTTCTGTCTGCAGGCCTCTGATCTGCTGAAGGTTCTTACTTATGGAGGTGAATCATGAGGAAAGCCAGGGTGTCTCTATTGGCCTTTGGCAGCTCGGATACAGCCCGATACAGGACAGCAGAACCATTGTCCTCATCCAGCTCTAAAACACAAACAGACACTTTTCAGTGGATAATTAAAGCCGGTTATGAAACAAATTCAGAATTGATTCTTCTACCTGAAGCCTCCATGAAGATCCTGTGTAGCCTGAAAGTGACCAGGGGTTCCCTCAGCCTCCTCAGAAAGTCCTTCAGGACCCCACAGACAACATGGATGTCCTGAACTTTACTAAGCATCAGAGAAGGCTTCCCCTGAAGGATCCGATCTCTGAGATTTCTCACTGGACGCTCTCCTCCAGGAACCCGATACAGGCCTCTCTGAGGAGGACAGGTCAGACACACATGAGACAAGGGCAGAAAGATACAGGTGGATAATTCTCTAGTGGATCAGGGCTGTTAAAGTCCAAGAACAGTACACCCAAACTGAGCAGCAGGTTCACTAAATGCACCCCGAGGGGACATCTTCTAGCCCTCCTGTAGCCGATTTGGACCATCCTCATCTGAAAGCCAGCTCACCCGGTCCAGTATTTTAGGTTTAAAATTTCCTTTTGGTTCCTGCAGAGATCAGAGAAGGAACAACAGTGAAGGACTCGCCTCTTGAAGACCCCTCCTCTCAATCTCAGCCACGCAGTCCACGATGACCTGAGGAACTCTGGGATGGGTCAACGGAGCAAACGCTTCCAGAGAGCCCTAAAACAAAGCAGAACTTAAATCAGAGCTACAGACGCATCAGTTGGTTCGGTTGGAGTTTTGATGTTTGTCAGATAAAGTCTAGATAGTGGACTGGTGGCCCGGCAGCTTGAGCTAAAGCAGCAGAGGTACCTTATGAGGTCCACTTCCCGTCACTGCGCTGGAAGTCGAGCAGCTGTTAGGGAAATTATCTTTGCACTCTGGATGAGCAACAAGCCGACAAATCCTGCATTTTACAGCCATTTTCCCAAATCGAATCCTCTTCCCACATGGCGTGCAGGACTCTGGTCGGATCACCTGGAAGGACACTCGAGTTACTCAGGCACTTTAGGTCAGCGGTCTCAAAGGTCAAGAGTCCACAAGGCTCCTGATGCAGCTCTACACGTGAATCAACTCAAGGCATGTCGAAGGAATAGTTCCAAGCATCTGATGCTGTTGTGTTGGCAGGAATGCATCTAGGAACAGCAGGACAGCAACTCTTGAGGAGTTTGAGACCTCTACATTGGACATAGGGTCCCAGATCAGGTCCAGTAACACTTATGTACCGTTTTAGACAGAAACTCGTGTCTCATGGACTTCTGAAGAACCAGAACGTTTCCGTCCTCCACAGGAGCGTTAAACTCCACCGATTTCTCATTGCTGGAGCTCCACAAAGACGTTTGATCTGAGGAGAAGATGGAAAGACCAATCAGAGTCCAGAAGTACCTTCACATCACCAGTTGGACCTTATGATCCATTTCCCTGCCTTACAGCAGGTGTGAACTGAAATCCAGCCATAATGCAGCATTGAACTGGTGCCAAATAAACCAATACCAAACTTGCAGTAAGGTTCTGATTGGTTCGGACAAAATTCAGTAGAAAATAAGGGCTTCAGGCTGGACCGGAGCTCAAATGATCTAATGGAGATGAACCAGCACCAATTCTGATCCAGAACACTGGATCAGTCTGAACCGACTGCCTAAAGCAGGATCAGAACTCTGTCACAATTAAACTGCAGCCAGCTGAATAGATACAACTGTGAAGACCACAACTTTCCATTTGTTTCAATTCTGCAAGAAATAAGAACCACAAATGTATGAGGAATCAACAGAACTATAACAACAACATGGTTTCTAAGAAGCAATATGATCCACAACGTCCAAGATAGTCCATCCTGTCTCCTACGGTCCAAACATGCAATTCTCTTAATTCTCTTTCTGTCAGCTGATGTTGGGAGTTTTTCTGTGGACAGACTGCCCTCTACTGGTTGTTCTTATGCATTACATTTTCTATTTAACTATATTCTCCTCTGATCCCAGAAGAAGTTCAGACCAAAGCCAGTTCAGGATGGTCCAGACCCGGTCCAGGTTTAAATCAGAGCAGCAGGTTCAAATGGTAGGTTTAGATAACCCAGGCTTGCTGTGGAGTCAGACTCCATGTTCTGATTCTTAAAAGTCTAAAATCCACAACAAATGTCATCTTAAGGAATGCTACCAGATAACTCAGTTCTGGTTCTGGAGGGCTAGTTTAGCTGTAAAGCAGCGGTCAGACCTGTAGGAAGTTAAAGGTCAAAGTCCCGATGAAGATCTTTTCCTGATCATCAGACTCTAAAGATGTAACCCAACTATAGAAACAAGAACCACTCACCTCTTCCTCCTGTGTGCCGAACAGAGACGGCTCCGTCCTGGGAGGCGGATCGAGCCGGGTCATCCGGACAAACCTGTTTGATTCCCGGAACCAAATGGTTCTGCCCGCCTGCATCTGGAGTCGCCACGGATGCCTTCACGATGGTTTCCACTTCCTGAGCAGAACACAGGTTGGAAGGCAGAACCAACAAGGCCCTTCTGGGTTCTGCTAGCTCTTTCACGTCAGCCTCATGTCTTCTGTAGTGAAGCATCATGGGACATTTTCCTGAAAGAAACTTTTTGAACCTTGTTGGTTTTAGACCAAAGAAAGAGAAGCTGTGATCTCAGGACAGAAGGGTTGTGTCTTACAGACCTGAAAGAGCTAGCAGAACTGGTCTGATGACTGCAGACCGCTTTGTGTTCAGATTAGAGTCACAACAACCAGAACCATGAGGTCCAGTGTGAAACATCACCAGAACTATTTTGACGACTGCAGATCTGGGGAAACGGGTTAAATATGAGGCTTCACATGACCTTCAGTCACTCACCCTGTGACGGTGGTGAGTGACTGGCAGCGTGGGGAATCGTACCAACAACCCACCAAAGAATTTACTGGAAACATTCAAGAAATATTTAGTGACAGCATGGGACAGAGATCCAAGTGTTTGTTCACAGAGGAGGATGTGGGCGGATTTATGGAATAACACAGTGGAGGAGAAATGAGTCTACATCAATTATGAGTCTATTACTAATTATTATTAGACCTTCTGATCTAATAATTGATCACAGGATCAATTATTAGATCTTCTTTTCAGGGATATTTTGTATTTGACCATTTTTATTTGCGTTCAAAATAAAACAAGAGGAACTCCATATCTGTTACAAGGACGTAAATCCCATCTCGTTATTGGGGACCAGAAACAGGAACATTTCTTACCACCGATTTTGGGGGATTGGAGAAGTTCCATTGAAATGTAACGGAAAATGTGGTTGAAAAAGTTTTTAAATCTCTATGTTGAAGACAGTGAGAAATAAAGACATAAGTTTGTGTTTGTCCTCTTGCTCTTCATATTTACTAAAACTGAAACAGCTGAATATGAATGAGATGT